GCTCAGGGTGTTTCATCACAGCAATAGACACCTTAACTAAGACAGCAACACATTTTTTTTGTTTATAATACTGAGCACCTTAAAACATATGACATATTTATTCTTCTTGCTGAAGAATGGGACTATTGACTTGCTTACTGCTATATTTCAGGTACCCAAAGCACATAGTAGGCACACATAATACATCTCCAGAGATGATCACATAATAGGCAGACAATAAGTATTTGTTGAAAGAAGGAAGAATATGAAAACAATATACAAGAAATACTTAGATATATATGCCCAAGAAATTTATAGATAATCATCCAAGAAATAGAATACTGGAAACAAATTTTAAGAGTGCCTAGCTTCCGAAGCAGTTTGCAGGGAGAGCTGTAGTGAGAGTTGGGAAGGAGAGAAGGTTCTAGGTCAGATCATACTGGAACAAAGCACAGAGCAATACATGAGGACAGCTTTTCTCTGTAGCAGTGAAATGACCTGAACTTCTGAACAACAAGAGCCACTGAAGTCTCTTGTTATGGAATATTCTTTTACACTGTGTGAAGATGTGTCACTGTGATTGGCTTCACATGGTCCTTCATTTGCAAGGTGAAGATCTCTTCCAGCTCAGCCTCCCACAGACAACAAGAGGAAAGCACAGAGAAATTGTTCCCCAGGAAATCTGAAGAAATCTGGACCCCAGGTCCTTTGATGGGAAACCCTGTCTGAGCCTGCTGCCTCCTCTCCCAGCCCAGCCCAGTGCCTGCTTCAAGCACACTGTGTACATGGCCGTGGCTGCCCTTTCAGCCATTGCTGGACCTGGAACTTCCCCTACATTGCTGGCCCCCATCTCCAAATGGGCCTTTCTCTCCTTCTCCACTCTGGGCTTCTTGGCCACTTTATCGATCACTTGCCACCCAGATCATTTGGGCTCTTCTCCTCACCAACAGCACATGCTGGATTCCTAAGGTAACTATGATTTTCGCTTTTTGTTTAGTTTTGACTTTGGTTTTTAAAGTCAGGGTCTCTCTTTGTAGCCCAGACTTTGAATTCCAGATCCTCCAGCTTTACCCTCATGAGTACTGGTGTGACAGGTATGCACCACCATATCAGGCTCGTTATTTCATTAGATTAAAGTTAGTGGACAGGTTCCAGTGGACTAAGAGATGTTACTGCCACCAGGATGCTGAGATGATCCTCAAAAATGCTACACCTTGTGAACTAGTTAACAGATGACTGAAATCACTAGAGAAACAACTCACTTGAGAAAACATGACCCACCAAAATTCACTATATTTCTGCATAGTAAATTGTTAATTTACTCAACTTTTAGCCTAAAGAAAACTCACATATTTACCTGCACACACATCACACACACATCACACACACACACACACACACACACACACACACACACAACCTCACTCTAGGTCACAAAGATCTTGTCTTCTATGTCACTGCCTGAGAGGACATTCAGTGACACAAGGAGCCACCATGCATGGTCCACCTGCGTCCTCTGGCAAGCATCCCTTCCCAAGACGTGGAAGCTGCTCACACTTCTCACAGGCACAGCTGGGGAATCTTCCTAGGGTCAAAACTCAGTGCAGTTGCTGGCCTGCTTGGCCCAGAGTCAAGCCACTGACACTGGGTGAAGTTGGTAAACAAAGGGGACTCTGCTCTTGGGCAGCCCATGAGTGTGTAGAAAGGAGGGCCAGGTGGTCCAAGGGAGCCCTTGATCCTGGAGTACAGTTGGGAGGGCAGGGGCCGCTCTTTGTGGTACCTGCTCTACTGTCAAGGAGATCACTCACCTGGAGAGCTGCATTTGGATCTAGACCCTCCGCTTCCTTTTCCTTCCCTGAGGCTCCTCTCATCCGTGCCCACTGAGCTCTTGCACTAATAGAGAAGCCATCATACTCTGACACACAGTCCTATGAAGTGGCTGTGGAGAAACAGGCTGCCTTCAACCAAAGAATGACCTCCTGCCTCCCTGCCTTCACTCCAGGTCCTTGTGGCTGAAGCTGTCCAAGCCCTGTTGTTGGGCCCGTGGAGGAGAATGTCACGGGATACCAAGCTAGCAATTCAATCCCAAAACAGCTTTGGGGCTGTAACTCCATGACATCACCTTTGACTCTCAGGACTGGGATTCTTCCATCTTGCCTGAGACCAGGCCCTCTCCCGACCTGCACCGAGTCTATTTTTGCTCTATCCATTTCTGATCTTCTGGCAATTTCCAGCCTTTCCACTTGCACAGTGGGGCCAGCACCTCACCCAGAAAGTGAGGTAGGCGGTGGCAAGTGTGTTAGTGCAGAGAGCTCCGCAGTCAGAGAGCCATAGTTCATTCTCGCTGTACAATTGTCAACCGATGACTTACTGGACCCTTAATTTTCCTGCTTAAATCTTGAGAACGGCAGACAAGTTACAAGGGGGTCGTGGTGCTGGTGGAAGAGAACATAGGAAATCACCTGGTGTGGAGTTAGCCGAGGGCCTTTCAGCACAGGGCTGGTTTCTCCGTGTTGTGCACACAGCCCCTGCTCTGCCACCTGACAGCACTGAGCCTACCTTGAGCCAGTGAGCTGGAGGAAGGCTCTTGCTGTGTGCTCCTTTCAAGTGCAGTCGTAGAGATTTCCTTCCCTCCTGGGTAATAGACCCTCTAAGTTTTTCACGGTGCCTGGCTGGCCAAATGGAAACTTCATTTTCCAACTTCCTTAGCAGAGAGGTGTTACCATGTCCCTTGGGGCTGGCCATTGAGGGTGGGTAGAATTCTGTGCTGCCTGACATTTTCCTGAAGGCTGAGGTGAGACACCAGGGCTGGAGCCCAAATGGCTCTCTCATCTATGAAGCGGCAGGAAAGAGCAGAGGTTGTGGAGCGAGAAGGCACTGGGGTCTTACATACTTTACACCTTTCGGTTTTCTTTTGTAGAAGACAGAGCTCATTCTGATTATTATAGTCTCTGTGCTTGACCACGGTTCCTCTCTGGGTGACTATTGGACGTTTACTGGAGGTCTTCAGAAAGACTTCAGAGACCTCCAGCAGAAGAGGCTGCTCCTACAGCATCCCCAAATCTGGAATGTAGCTTCCGAGGAGCCGATGAGCATCTGAATCCAGAGGAGAGGGAAGGGAATGATATTCACAAAGAATTTGCTACTTTGGCTTTGTTCTGTGACATGGGCCTGTGTCTGTATTATAGACATTGTGCAAGAGCATGCATTTTTGCCTCACTGAACGGAGTAAATAAGGGAGAAGATACACTTGATAACGTATTAGGGAATTGCACCAGCTTCGTGAGTGTGGCATCTGATCTTGCCCTTGGCTGCCTGGGGACAGTCTCATGAAGTAATTCACTGCTGGTACTTGCTACAGAGTATGAATCTGGGCCATCCCCCAATCGAAGAGTGGGATCAAAGCGTTTTCAGGATTGTTGGTAACAGTCTTCAAGGATTCAGGGGCTTCAGCTAAATGAAGGTCATCACTGAGCACGTGGCTTCTTCCGGCTGACACGTAAAGTCACATGTGTGTGCATGTGTATTTGTTTATCTGTGTATGTACAGGTTTGTGCAGCAGCAGGTGTGTGCAGGAATGGGTAGAAGCCAGAGGATAACCTCGGGTGTTACTCTTTTTTATTTTAAATAACTTACTTATTTTAGTCTATGTACATTGGTATTTTACCTGCACCTGTGTCTCTGTGAGGGTGTCGGATCTTGGAGATACAGACAGTTGTGAGCTGCCATGTGAGTGCTGGGAATTGAACCTGGGTCCTCTGGAAGAGCAGTCAGTGCTCTTAACCCCTGAGCCATCTCTCCAACCCCCTCGGGTGTTACTCTTAAGGCACCATCTAATTAATTATTGAGACAGTGCCTCTCATTGTCCTGGAACTGAGGAATAGAACTTGACCAGTAGGCCAGAATATCTCTCAGCCAGTGAACTTCTGATCTGACTGTCTCTGCCTCCCCAGTTGGATTCTGGTGATCAAACTCAGTTCTTTGTGGTTGCAAAACAACCCTTTATGGATTGCACTAGCTCCCCAGGCTCCTATATTTTGTTTTCATAGCAGGAATTTCTCAGTGAAGGCAACAATGCCTAGACATAAGTTTTTGCCATAGTTTCAGACAACACTTAGAAAGACACTGATGTAGAATATGAATGTCTTACTAAGGAGTATGATAAAAATGTATCTTTTTTATATATTTATATGTGTTTGTTTTCAAGACAGGGTTTCTTTGTGTAGCCCTAGCTGTCTTAGAACTCACTGTATAGACCAGGCTGGCTTCAAATGGAGATCTGCCTGCCTCTGCCTCCCAAGTGCTGGGATTAAAGGCATGTTCCATGACCACTCAGCCCCCCAAAAACCCTTTATATCCATACCAAATCTGTCCATCCATCCACCCAGATGATTCTGAGAAAGACCCTTGATGGAGAAGAAGCCTTGGGACATGACAGGAGAATGGAGACTACAGAGTTGCCCTTGCAAAACCAAAGCAACCTGAATTTCCATATATTCTTGTTACAAATTTAAGCTGGCTTTGCTGGAATCAGTTCATGGAGCAGAGTCTTATTCTGTGTCATCTTGAAAAAGATTTAAACCTGAGACAGGCTTTCATGGAGCCCAGGTTGGCTCAAATTTGCTAGGTAGCCAAGGATGACCTTGAACTTCTGATTTTCCTGCACCTGCTTCTAGAATGCTAATATTATAAGCATGTGCCATTTCACTCAGTTTGCAATGTGCTGGGATGAACCCCGGGGTTTCATGCCTGCTAGGGAAGGTCTTTACCCACTGAGCTATAGTCTCCTGCCCTACACCTGACGACAACTAACAGTAGTCTTCATGTGAGCTTTGATTCATATCATAATTTCACCTACGTTTTCAAGCCTGACTGAATTTATTAGCTCATGAAACCCAGCTTCTCCAAAGCCAATACAAGAGTCCCCCATGACAGAGCCCCTGACTCAGTCGCCTCTAGTTGCACAAGAGGTTTGGTCCTCACAGGAATTGGCTGACAGTCCTGAAATGGTGACAACTTACCGGCGGTTCCCAGGCTCAGCAGCACCGCCACCCAGAGGACCCAGAAGAAAATGAGGACGGCAAATGTCCACAGAGGTTGGAACAGCAGGAAAGGACAGCTGCTGATGGCTTTATTTGTGACTTGGAGAAGCTCAACTGTCAACTCCACTCTCTTTCTGAGGGTATAAATCAAGGAGAGGAGAACTACCTGTTGAGAAAGAGGTCAGAGTGAACCGCTGCCGAGCAGGGAGGACCTGGGAGGGGCTGGAAACGAACAGTTTAACTGGCACCGAGAGGCTCTCTTTGAAGATACCCACTACTTCTATAAAACTGGAGAGATGCACTCCCGAGCATGAACGAGTCCTTACTATGTACTGGCCTCTGCAGATCCTGCGATCACAATAGCAAACAAGGCCTAATCCCTTCCTAAAGGAGCAAGAGTTTGAAGGTGAGAATAAGGCTCTTTAAGGGAAAAAAAATCTTCCATTTTCCCTCCTCCACGACATACACCCAGAGATGGACTGCAAATAGGACAAGAGAATGTGAGTGTCATGTAAAAGGAGTGTGTCTCAAAGCTACTTGCTATGCCATCTTTACTGGGCTTCCCTCTCTGGATAGAAATAGTTATAAGGCTCCCAGATTAAGAAAACCACCATCCTTCACCCCTGTATCATCCAGCCTTCTCTGCTATTCTTTTCTTCGTCAAGCTTCTTGGTTTGTTTTTGTCACTGCCTATCTCCCATTTCTGACCCCTATCTCTTTATCCACCACAAATTCCTTGACCTCAGCACTCTCCTGAAACTGTTCTCCCTAAGGTGACCTGTGGAGTGACCTCTGTGTGTGACCTCTGGAGTGTTAAGTCTTCTGGAATATCCAAGTTGTTTCTGGCTGGAATTCAGTAATTTGAACTCAGAGCTGATGGTGGCTACTTAACTGTCTTTTGGGAAGGCTTGTCTTACCGTCATGACTGTAGCGATGATGGCGAAGGCCAGCATGCATTTCATATTCTCCCTTTCGGTGTCCAATTCTGTGCTGAGGTCGTTGGTGTAGTCATAATATAACCACCATAAGACACCACAGACAACTAGAAAACAAAGTGATGGTAGGCTTGGTATGTGTCCTGAGATTATCCACTTTTCTTCTACACGCACACACACACACACACACATACACACACACACACACACACACACACACGCACACTCAGAGATGCCCACACAAAGTCCAGCCACTTCAGACCCAGTGATCCTATTCCAACAGTAGGTCCTAAATCCCCAGACGCTCTGTAGTCCATCACTTCTCTCTGGGTGATCTGGGCAAAGCCAGGTTAACCACAGAGAACCTGTCTATCCTGGGGTTGCTGCTGACCTTTGGTAGACACAGGGTGAGCCTGAGAATAATCAGGAAGGTAGGGCACTAAATAGAATGGTGAGGAAGAGCATTAGAGTCTAAAGTCTAAAGTAGTCATGTAAAGTCTGCCGGTGACAGTTCCTGGATGTGGGTCATTTACACAGCCCATGGAAATTATGTGAAGATACACTGACACTGTAAATACTCTGCATCAAGATAAAAACATGACCTTAAACTATCACTGTTGTAACTCCAGGGAGGTCATAGTTGTCTGCTGATCATAAATGGGGAGATGATGATACAGTCTTCACTTGTCACAATGGCCATTCTCCAGAGCTTTTCATGATTGAAACTGAAATGCCCCGCTTAGAAGCTCATGTGTTGAAGGCTAGACCCCTGGCTGGATCTATCCTTGGTGTTATTGGGAGGCAGAAGATCTACTTGAAGGAAGTGGGTTATTACAGATGTGTTCTTTGAAGGCATAGGGGACGCTTGCTGTCTACATCTCAGTGGCCATGAGGTAATAATCAGCTCTAGGCTATCTCATGCTTCCACCAGGAGAATACTACCCTAGGCTTAGAACAAGGGAACCCATGACCATGGAGTGAAACCTCCGAAACTGTGAGCCTAAGCAATTCTCTCTTTAAGTGATTTGCTCAGGGATTTTGTTGCACAGTCGGAAAGGTGACTAACACAGGGACCTAGGACTTTGTGTGGCTGCCTGAGAGCAGTACTAAATATTCAAAGGGCGAAACATTGCAGTCATATTGTTCATTCAAAATTAAAATGCCCTATATCAGTTGGAAAATAGGGCCTGGACCTCTTTCCTCAGAACTCCTAGGATAGTTACAATCCACTGGTCTCTGCTCCTTCTCAGCCTTGCTCTTCAGACTGGCCAGAGCCTTTGTGTGACAACCATGGGTTCTTACAGGCCCACAGAGTAAGTGTAGCACAGAATAAATCCTTCAAAATGCAAGAAAAGAAAGATTGAGTAAACGTCTCTCTATGTAGCCCTGGCTATCCTGAAACTTGCTATGTAGACCAGGCTGGCCTTGAATTCTTGTGGGACTAACAGTGTACACTAACATGGCCAGCTGGAATTCTTCCTTGCAACGTATATAAATACTGGTAAAATATATTTTTGTTTTGTTGTTTGTTTGCAGTGCAGGAGATAGAATATAGGGCCGTGTGCTTACCAAGACTCTAGCACTGAGATCTGTCCTCAGCCCAGTGTTATGGGCTCCAGGGTCACCCAGTTGGTAGGCCTTGTCTCAGGAGCTACACAACAGGTAGAATCAAAGACAGATTGGGCATTAACACTCTGGGAGGCAGAGGCAACTCCCACTGTCCTCCCTGGGCCTGGCTTTCCTCTTATGTAAAACTGATGGGGCTAGCCTGCATCTCCTTCTAAGACTCTAGTTAAAAAAAAAAAAACAAAACAACAACAAGCCCCCCAAACTTTAAATTCTGTACTTACTGGAAAGATGTTCCATTTGCTCAAAAAGAGTTGCAATACTTACACAGCAATCCCAAAATGACCAACGAAATGACAATGTGGACCAGAAGCGTGGAGATGAATCGGAAAGTGAACAGCACGGCCAGAGACAAGGCTGGAAAGGTAAGCGCAGCACATGATGCTCGAGGGCAGCAGGCAGCAGGGGAGGCAGGTGGGTAGGAAGGTGGCAAATATAAAACTGTGATGATTGGGCCCGGGAAGTGAGGACTGACAAGCTTACTCAATATCCAAGCATCTTGGGAAACATTCCAAATACTAAATACAATTGACCAGCTATACCCAGGGTACCCTCCTAGGCCTGTGACACAAGTCAGCTACAGTAAGTAGGTTCTGAAAAATGCTAGCATCCTTCTCAAGTTTAAATAGTTAAAGATAACTAAGTAATCAATAAATAAATGAATGTATTTTTCTACAATACCCGAAAACATTTTTTTGCAAGTCCAAATCAAGTATTTAAAATTTTATAGTATTTAAGTCTTTTGTCTTTTATGCTGGGATTAAAGGGCTGTGCTACCAATGCCTGGCTAATAAGTAACTTTTTTTAAACAGGCAGAAATACATTGATGGCTGACCAAAAAGTCTCTTTCAGCAGGTGTGAGGCCTGCTACAGGAAAGCATTGAGGTAGCTACCTACAACATTTTTCTGAAGCAACGTGGCCTAACTGCTTCAGACAGAAAATCGGCACTTAGCCTCAGCAAGGTGAAACACAGCATGGAAACCACAGGGTCAAGAGTGGGCAGCTTCTTCCCCAGACACACAAGGGAGCAGGCCTTTGCTCTAGCAGGTAGGATTCCATCAGGGCTGGGCACCCAGACATTGCATGTGACACGACGGTGGACACACACTCCTTCCTTTCCCCGGCCAGCAATCTTCTGATCTCAGACTGACAAGTGGAAGGCACACTGGTCAGCAGAACTGGTGTCTGGTGCCCCCAACGATTGCACTTTTCATGGCCAATGCATAAAGCGGCATAAAGTACTTTATTTGACTATCTTGTATGCAGTTAACAAGAGACAGAAGCCAGGCCAACAGAGTGACTCAGTTCCATGTAGGACAGCTTCCCAACTGAGAGCCAACTACTTCTACTGCTCCCTGTCTACACTTAAACCTTCGAACAAATCTGTAAAGAAAATAAATAAGCTGTATATTTAAGTGAAAAAAGCTCAGTTTTCATTACTTGAGCGCTAGGAAATTGGGCATTCCATATACAGTTACTAAATAAATTAAAGGAGAATTACCGAATGTGAAGACACACAAGCCGAGGATGGTGTCTCTTCCCGCCATTATTCCACTTAGAGTCCGCTGGAGAGCATCAGCATCATTTATCAAGACTGACGCAAATAAGGAGTAGCACTCGGGAGTCTGAGGGATGCACCGATGAAGTAAGGGGAAGGACTTACTGAGAACAAAAGGCAGAGTCAATGGTAAAACGATCGCCTATTTATCTTCAAGGATGTTTATATTCAGATTTTCAACATCCCTAAACTAGAAGCTCAGCATTTGTAAAAATGACTTTATAACTAAACGAGATGACTCAGCAGGTAAAGGCACCTGCTTCTAAAGCCTAATGACTCAAGCTCAATCAGGATGTTGTCTACTGACCCCCACCCCCCCACCCCTCACCCCCGTGATTAGTTGATACTCATGTTGAGAAAATGATTAAGGAAAACACTAGACTTTTGAAACTATTCTTTCTTTTTGTTTTTGAGAGGCTGAATGACATCCCATAGAATATCTATACACCACCTTTCTTTTTTTTTTTTAATAAGAGGGAATATTTGGATTCTTATGTTTCGTCCTTAGACTATCAACTCCAGCACAAGAATAAAAATCTTTTTTTTTTTTTTGGTTTTTTTCGAGACAGGGTTTCTCTGTGGCTTTGGAGGCTGTCCTGGAACTCCCCTTGGTAGTCCAGGCTGGTCTAGAACTCACAGAGATCTGCCTGCCTCTGCCTCCTGAGTGCTGGGATTAAAGGCATGCGCCACCAATGCCCGGCAAGAATAAAAATCTTTGTGTGTGAGTATGTGTGTGTGTGCTCGTGTTGTATGTACATGGTTGTGTGTGTGTTCACGTATGCACGTGAATGTGTATGCGTGTGTATATGTGTGTGTAGGTCTGTGGTCAATCTTGGTTTTCTCCTTTCATTCCACCCTTGTTTTTGAGACAGGGTTTCTTCATGAACCTGGAGCTCACAAATTGTCTTGACTGGCTGGCCAGTGAGTGCGGGGTCTTCGTCTCTGAGCTCAGGGTCATATACGCACACTTCTGTGGCCAGCCTTTATGTAAGGACTGAGGTTTGAATTTAGGTCTTCATGTTAGAGCAGCAAGTACTTCACTCCCTGAACACTCTTCCCATCCCAAGAATTTCTTTAAGGAATTTAACATCTGGAGGGCATGACTTTGATTAAGAAGTATACACCAGCATGGCATTTTTCAGGGACAAGGGATGTATGAGGGCTTTTTGAGGTCCAGATATTCTACACATGCTGGGTCTATATTGTTAGACTCTACTGACTTTATCTAAGGCAGCTACATAGAAGGCAGTGGGGAACCTCAGCAGGATGAGGCTGCATATTGCCCCACTTGGCACTGAAGAGGACCTCCCAAATGACCAGCTGGGTGGAGAATACAGAACACTTCGTACCCGAAAGTAGCCAGAGAAGACTCTGGAACAGTCTGTGTTTAATTCAAGAGCAAGGGGTGGGGAGATGGACTAGTTTCACTAAATAAATTTAAAGACACAGAAGGAGAAAATCCAAGTTCTCTCTGGCTATGTCCTATGTTCTGTTTGTAGGATGTAGTGGTTATGGAATAACATATACATGAGTTATATTTGTGCATTACTTATCTGTAAACACATAAAACATACCACATTTCCCCCTTTAAAGCAAAAGCAATACACTATACACTGATCTATTGTTTACTTTTAATAATGTTACTAATGTACCTTACAGCGCTGCACATATCAGAATACAAGGGATTTCCTATTTTTCTTTTTAGAGTTACTTTATTTTTAATTATGTACATGTGCGTGCAGGTGAGTACAGGTTCCTGTGGAAGTCAGACATCAGATTCCCTGGAACTGGAGTTATAGTCAGTTGTGAGCCACTCAGTGTGGGTCCTGGGAACTGAACTCAGGTCCTCTGCAAGAGCAATATACACTTTTAACCTCTGAGCCATCTCTCCAGCCCCTGGGATTTTCTTTCTTTTATTTTTTTCTGTTGCAAAATATTCATGTTACCACGTAACACCCAGATCTTAAGTATGCAATCAGACTTTTGGCAAATATGTACATTCACATAACTACTACCCCTTTCAAAACACAGTAGGAACACCGCCCCCAACACACACTAACCTGCCACCCTGTCTCATTTTCTCATTATGGAACCAATGCTGGCTTAAAACTTGCAATTTTCCTGCCTGCATTTCCCAGATTCTGGGATTACATGCAGGAACCACCGGAGCCTGATTAGGACATGGAACATTTTTATAGCTGCAATAAGTCCTCTTAGTATCGCACAGACCTGATTGTTCATTTTTGTTTGTTTATTTTGAGAGGCTGTTGTCAAACTCATTATGTAGTCAAGGGTCATTTTGAGTTCCTGAGCCTTCTACTGGATTACAACTGTGCAGTGCCGGGGATTTGAACCCAGGGCTTTATGAATGCTAAGCAACTGAGCTGCATCCCTAGCTCAGCAGATCTGATTTCTGCTACTAGACTTGGATTTGGTTCTGGTGTCATCTGGTGCCACGGGACATGCACCTTTGTGTCCTGCTGCTTCGACTCCCATTGCACAGATCAACATATTAACCCTTCTAGTGCCTAGCACTACGCGCTCAACACAAAACTTGCCCTTCTGTCTGTCTGCTGATTGCCATTCGAGTTGTTCCCAAACACCAAACATGAGGATACTATCAACATTCACATATATATGTATCTTATAATTTGGGGACATATAATTTTTATTTTCTTGGGTAAAGATCTAAGAGTGGAATGATGGGGTTATATGGTATGTGTGTGCTTAACTATATAAGAAGCAGCTGTCACACCATCCACACTCTTCCTGGACACACATACGCACGCACACGCACGCACACACACGCACACACATGCACACACACGCACGCACACGCACGCACGCACACACGCACGCACACACATGCACGCACACGCACGCACACACACGCATACACACGCACACACACGCACGCGCACGCACGCACGCGCACGCACACACATACGCACACACGCACACATGCACGCACACACACGCACACACACGCACACACACGCGCACACACGCACACGCGCACACACGCACGCACACACGCGCGCACGCACACACACACACGCACGCACACACGCGCGCGCACACACGCATGCACGCACACGCATGCACGCACACGCACGCACACACACGCGTGCACGCACACACGCACGCACACCCACGCACACACACGCATGCACGCACGCGCACACACACGCACGCACACACGCACACACACATGCACACGCGCACACGCGCACACACACGCATGCACGCACATGCACGCACACACACACACACATGTTTCATGTCCTCAGCAGAGTGTTGCTTTCCAAATGACTGACTCTTCTAGGAAGGGTGTTGTCCCATCAGAGTTCATGTCTGCTTGTGTCTTTTTCTTAATTCTGCTGAGTCGTTTGTCCTTTTGTTACTACTTGAAAGTAGGGCTCAGCCAAATGTGGCTCACTGCCCCCTTTTTTGAGACGGGATTTCTCTGGGTAGCTTTGGAGTCTATCCTGGCACTCACTCTGTAGACCAGACTGGCCGCCTGCCTCTGCCTCTTGAGTGCTGGGATTAAAGGAGTGCATCACCACCACCCAGCTTGCTCCCCCCTTTTTTAATACCTGAAGCTTTATTGAAAGATATTTCAGTCAATTTGTTCATGCATTTTAAAAATAGCGATTATTCTTTAAAACATTTAGCGTGTTTGCACACTTGTGCATGTGACGAGATGACAGTCTGGAGTTTTGATCCCTGCCTTCTCCCTGGTTTTAAACATGGTCTCTTGGTTGCTTTGTGTTATATTCACCAGGCTAGCTGGCTAAAGGCTTCTGGAGATTCCCCTGTCTCTGCCTCCATCACCCCAGAGAAGCACTAAGAATACAGATGGGTGCTCTACTGCATACAAGGATCCTTAAGATTCGAACTCATCGCCATGCATGTGCAGCAAACACTTTATCCACAGAGCCCTCTCCATGGATTTTCTATGGTTGTGTCTGCGCTGGTCCAGTAGATTGAACAGATATAGACAAACAGGGAAGACTGTTTTATACTGACTCATGATCTCAGGGGGTTCAGTCCATGTTTGCCTGGCCCTAAGTACCGGAGAATACCATGGTGTTTGTGGTGGAGGAGGTTCTTCACCTTGTAACAGACAGGAAGAAGTGAATGCTGATTGCGGGAGGCAGGAGAGGGGCAGTGGCCAGATACCAGCAAGATTGCACAGCTAGTGGCCCACCTCCTGTGGCTAGGTCGTGCCTCTCAAATTTTCATAACCTCCCAAACCAGCACTGTCACCTGAGGCCAAGTGCATAAAACATGAGCCACAGGAGACATTTCACAATATGATTTCATAAACAATAGCACCTATAGCTTTATCTTTTCTACGTTTTTAGAATGAACTTATCAATTTCTATAAAAGTCATATAGGGATTTGCTGAACATGTAAAACAATGTTAAGAGAGATGACATTCTAATGGTATTACTAATGCATAAACAGTGTGTTTAACCATCAGATTCTTTCATTTCTCTTGGCAAGATCTTAAGATTTTCAGCTAAGGTCTGTTAAGTTTATTTCTGAGTTATTTATTCTAAAAAGTTCTGGTAAAGATGGACTTTGGAAACTGTTTAACTGCTTGCTACTAAAGTCCAAAAAGACAATTTTCTTTTAAACTTTGAGACAGAGGAGTAGTCCTTACTGTTCTGGAACTCTGTAGACCAGGTTGACCTCAAACACACAGACATCCACCTGTCTCTACTTACTGAGTGCTAGGATTAAGGCGTGCATTACCATGTCAGAAAGACAACTGACTTGTATCTAGCTTCTTTGCTCAATTTGCTTAGTATTTCGTAGGCCCTTTGGATTTTTCTAGACCACGGTTACTCTTCTTTAAATAAACCTGGTTTTTCTTCTTCCCTTGTCTTTCTTTTCCTTACCATTGTCATTCTTAGACTGCCCATTTCAGAACTGAATAAAGTGTATGGAACAGACCACTGCCTTGCTTGTTTCTTTTCTGTTTTTCTTTTTTTGTTTGTTTGTTTGAGACAGGGTTACTCTGTGGCTTTGGAGGCTGTCCTGGAACTCACTCTGCAGACCAGGCTGGCCTTGAACTCACAGAGATCGGTCTGCCTC